ACGGACTCATTTTGCTTTCGCACAGGACGCGTTTGCAGTCCGCTCCTGATCCGCGGCTTTTTACCACAAACACAATATTTATCCATAATTTTGATTTTAAATCCAAACGTTGTTTATGAAATGTGCTATAAAGCGATTTAGAAATTGCGCAAGCTCAAATCGCGATTTCGATTAATCGCACAGCCCTAGTGTGAACAAGCCGCGGCTGCTGCAGCCTGCAGAGCTTGAGCTGCTCCGTCTCACGCAGCCAGAGGGAGTTCCGCAACAACGCTTAGCTGCCCGCCAGTGTGCCTGCCTATAAATCGGCCTAATTTGCAGCACAATTGGCCGATGCCGATTAATTAAAAAATGCCAAAAATCCCGATCAATCGGTCGACCTCTAACTAGTTACCCTGACATGGATTTAGACTGACCTGTGAGTGGCTTTGTCAAGGAAGACTTTGACCCCCGGGTCTGGTTCACCCATCACTATATGTGTCAGCTCTTGGCTGGGCTGGTTGAAGCGCAGCCCTCCGGCAGAGTTCACCATCCGCCGCAGTTTCTCCAGTTTCTTTCCTGATAAGCCACACAGATATAACTACAAGACAAAAAGAAAGTGATAAAGGGTCAATGATTGAAGTTTTTTTTCCTTCCAGATTCAACGTTTAAATTCACACAAATGCAAAAAGATATCACTTAGGATTAATCCTTAGAATATCACTAAACAATGTCCCAAATGCATCACTTAAAATTGTTCAGGAAATGTTTAAAAAAACTAACCTTACAGCCATCCAACAGGTCATCAACTCGACAAACAGTGATGTCAAATGAGTCAACTGGATCAGGAGTCTCTATGTGGCTGATTCCTGCTGTGGTGAGGACCGTTTCATTGACATTCATACTTATATTGGAAATATGGCTCAATCCCAGAAGTGAGGGACCTTCTGCACAAACAAATGGCAAAGAAATATACACCTGTAAACTTAATAAATCGGACACTGGAATTGGTCATAATTATAATCTATTCAGGTTATATGTTTTATGAAATATATAAAAATTATAACTTTTTACTTGTATAGAGTCAATATACACACTAGCTTTCAAAAGTTTGGAGTTGGGTAAGATAAAAAAAAAAACCTTTGAAATACATCTCTTGTGATATACAAAGCTGCATTTATTTGATCAAAAACACAGTAAAACAGTAATATTGTGAAATATTTTTACAATTTAAAATAAATTTATTTTTGATGTATTTATTCCTGTGATAGAAAAACTGAAATTTTAGCAGTCATTACTCAAACTAAATTAGTGGATAATTCAGCAGCAAAAGTTACTCTACAAAAATGATGAGTTCACAATAATTGTATAAAATCTAAACATTTAGAGAAAAAAACATTATTTAGTGGGGGGAAAAAGCTCAAAGTAAATAGGTGTAATATGGTAAAATGTTACACATTGCTCTTTGTATTGTTGTAAAATACATTCATGAAAAACCAGTAAATATAATTATAAATATATGCAATAAATTAAATACATTTCTTTTACATTTATAGCACAGTAATGAGGCAGCAACATATGATAGATAAGACAAAACAAGAAAGGCTATTAACAATTTTTCATTGCGCAAAAGTATTATAACATGAAAGGCTCCAATACGGAGCGGCACAAAGCTCTTATGCGCATCCCATTCGTAGAATGATACGCTTGAAGCAAGATGGAGTCACAGCATTCCTCATAGAAAAGTTCAAAGCACAAAGGGAAGAGACATTGACAAGTAAATATAATTATATATAAATATATGCAATAAATTAAATACATTTCTTTTACATTTATAGCACAGTAATGAGGCAGAAACATATGATAGATATGAGAGAACAAGAAAGGCTATTAACAATTTTTCATTGCGCAAAAGTATTATAACATGAAAGGCTCCAATACGGAGCGGCACAAAGCTCTTATGCGCATCCCATTCGTAGAATGATACGCTTGAAGCAAGATGGAGTCACAGCATTCCTCATAGAAAAGTTCAAAGCACAAAGGGAAGAGACATGATGCGTAGTGTATTATATCTGTGCGATAGTTTATTGAGTCTTTTCTTTTAACAGTTTTAAATTTCAGTTACTGTGCGCGTGAAGAACAATTCATAGTGCTCTCTACTTCAGTGTAGTGATCTAACAGACACCTGGTAGAAAGTAACATGATTTAGAATTAGCACTAAACTCCAGCAAGATAAAGTCCTTTTATGCAAAACCACTGATGTTTATCTACGGATCGATTATAATTATAGGAACATTGTATCATCTTAAAGAGAGTTTCATCGTCTTGACTGCCATACGCAGTTTGAATGAATGAATGATGCATTTATATAGTGCTTTATTGTGTATTGTTGTACACCCAAAGCACTTTACAATCATGTGGGGAGGTCTCTCCTCGACCACCACCAGTGTGCAGCATCCACTTGGATGATGCGACGGCAGCCACAGGACAACGGCGCCAGTGCGCTCACCACACACCAGCTACAGGTGGAGAGGAGAGAGAGTCATAGAGCCAATCAAGTGGATGGGGATTATTAGGAGGCCATGACTAACAAAGGCCAGGGGGGCAATTTGGCCAGGACCCCTACTCTTTTACGAGAAGTGCCATGGGATTTTTAATGACCACAGAGAGTCAGAACCTCGGTTTAACGTCTCATCCGAAAGACGGTGCTTTTTGACAGTATAGTGTCCCTGTCACTATACTGGGGCATTAGGACCCACACAGACCACAGGGTGAGCACCCCCTGCTGGTCTCATTAACACCTCTTCCAACAGCAACCTAGTTTTCCCAGGAGGTCTCCCATCCAGGTACTGACCAGCTCACCCTGCTTAGCTTCAGTGGGTAACCAGTCTTGGGCTACAGGGTGATATGGCTGCCGGCATTAGCAGATGCATGTAGGACAGAAATTGGTATTTTCACTTGACACTTTGTTCTGTAATGCCATGAGGAAGCCGTTATCTTAAGCCAAGGTTTATCCTTTGATTCCAGTGTATGGTTGTGTAATTCCCCCAGTAAAATAAAAATGTTGACATTTAATTACAGTGGAAGCCCTCCTACCAGTATGTTAAAAACAGACATGTAGTAAAGCCTTCAGGTACTAGCTTCCTATTTTTACTCTCATTTCACAGTGAACACTAAACCCAGGCTCAGAATAGATAAATTAAGGCGACCTATAGAGGGAGAGCTGCTGGTAAACTGTTACATAGCTACCTGGATTTCTCTTATCACTGTAATAGATTACACATTTTATAGCCTTATATAAACAGATGTTCCTTTAGGAATCCTATTGTTTCTCAACAACACAGAAGATAGAAAAACTTGTGAATACCTTTAATTTGAGCACGAGGAGATAAACAGGGAAGAACAGACCTATTTCAAATCGTTTCAAGGAAGGGCTGGATTCATCATTGTGTTTTATGGAGCCGTTACACAGGCTGGGTTTGTCGCAGGTGGCGTCTTTCGGTAACTGTATTTCACCGTAATTATCTTCAATCTGATTCGACTGATTAGACACTCCTTTCATTTTCTTGTTCGCTCTCATCGCCTGCCTGCCTGCGGTCATTCATATTAGACGCAATATTTTATGTCTCATTTCAGAGCTGAAGAGATGGTTATTGGAAGACTGCGCGGCTTTTAAATGACATAAAAGCGATAAAAGCGAAGGAAAGCGAGGAAAAGAGGGAACGCCCCGCCCCCGCGGTGATACCGGTATTGTCACACGCCGAATAACCGGTGGGAAAATTTCCTCACCGACACAACATTAAACTATGGAACGGTCTCAGAACACTTGAAATATAGTGCACGAAAACTTTATGGTGCTTTATAATGTGTTTGTGCCTTTCATGGGGCTTAGCAAACAGAATAGTATACGCACAATATCAGATTTGGATCGGTCTCGTCTGACCGATACCCTGATGCGGCAGAAAATGGCAGTATCGGAGCCGATACCGATACTGAATATCAGATCGGCGCACCCCTAGTCATTACTCTTTCAGTGTCACACGATCCTAGACAAAAACATTTCTCATTATTATCATTTATATTTAAAAAATATTATTGTGCTGCTTAATATTTTAGTGGAAATTCTAATATTTTAAAGATTCCTTGAATAAAAAAATAATAATATATCTATATTTTTTTAACAATATTTACAATACAATGCAAGTTTATTTGTATAGCACATTTAAAAACAACTGGTGTTGACCAAAGTGCTTTACAAGGCTAAAAGAAACAGGCAATAAAGACACAAAGCATTTAAGCACTAGAGAAACAATAAAAGTAAAATAAAAATAATAAATAAAAGCCTAAAATAAGATAAAATAGAGGAGAAAAGTTAGAATCAAAAGATATTAATGCCGAAATGAGTCAAGGGATATTGAAAGCCACGGAGAAACGGTACACTTTCAAGGCGGATTTAAAAGTTGACAAGGTTTGGGCGGATCTGATGTAGGCCGGAAGGCTATTCCATAACTTAGGACTAGGGATGCACGATATTATCGGACTGATATCGAAATCGGCCCGATATGAAATATTATGCCGATATGTCTTGCCAATAAGAGGAATACGTTAACTCACATGTGCTCAGGGTGTGCTAGTGATTAGATCAGGTCAGCAGTGTGGCTCATTCTGAAGTGAAGTGAAGAGACATGTGGCCATGTATGGTGACCCATACTAGGAATTAGTGCTCTGCATTTAACCCATCCTTAGTGCACACACACAGCAGTGAACACACACACACCGTGAACACACACCCGGAGCAGTGGAGACTCGAACCCCGCACCCTTTGGGTTACCAGTCCGACTCTCTAACCATTAGGCCACGACTTCCCCGTGGCCACAAAACTTTCTTGAAGCAAAGTTTTGTCTGATTAGATTGACCGTTTTGGATCGCTGCATTTAATCTGAGAATGCAGGTACAGAATGACACGTTCGGTGTGTAATAGAGTAAATAGCACGTGCAGCGGCAGCAGTGACAGCCTCCCCCGGGTCCTAATGCCCGTTCGGTAAGGAGTTTTAATCTTTAGGGGGTGCTGTTGGCCTACTTCTAATTAAATTAAAAGTAAAATAGCCTGCACAAATAACATTTAGACTGTGTTTCTGATTAAATAAAACAGTAATTGATGTCATAAAATAATAAGTATGTTTTGATTTAAAGGTCAGAAGCTATAGCGCCTACACAAATAACATTTAGACTGTGTTTCTGATTAAATAAAGCAGTAATTGATGTCATAAAATAATAAGTATGTTTTGATTTAAAGGTCAGAAGCAATATCTTACATGAAAGAAAATCACAAACATGACACTTGTAAATTAAATAATTATATATACTGATTTATTCATTAATGTGTAATGTTTTGTTTATTTAATTCTAACAAATAAGCTCTTGTTAAAAACTAACCAAAATTAAAAATATTTTGCTTATAATTTCTGCACAGGAGAGACTTGGTGTTGTTTCCAAACAAAAGGAAATATATCGTATCGGCCAAAATAAGTTGAAAAATATCGTCATATCGGCAAAAATCCAATATCGTGCATCCCTACTTAGGACCGATGACCGCAAATGCACGATCACCCTCGTTTTTAAGTCTGGTTCTAGGAACATATAGTAAATCAGAGTACCTAGATCTAAGTGATCTAGACTGTGAAGGCGGATGCTGTAGTTCAGATAGGTACTGTGGTGCCTGGTTCCGCAAAGACTTAAAAACAAATAACAAAACTTTGAAATCAATTCTGTATTTGACCGGTAACCAATGAAGTGAAATCAGAACTGGTGTGATGTGTTCGCTTTCACGCTTCCCTTTGAGAAGCCAGGCTGCGGCATTTTGAACAAACTGTAAGCATGTGACACGTCTGAGAGGCACCAATGTACAAAGAGTTACAATAGTCTAGTAATATTTATTAACAATATATCAATTTAATGCGTCCTTGTGTTAATTTCTTTCCAAAAAAAAAAAGTTTTGTGTCAGTATGACACAAATGGTGCCTTAACAATAAAACAGTGTTTTACTCACCCTCTTTGCTCCTGTTGGGTCCTGTAGGAGTGGAGGTGTTGGGTCTGCCTGGCTTCTCCTCCGCTCTCTTCTTTCCACGCTCCACAGCATACCTGCTCTCATCCTGACAGAAGCCCTTCTCGATGCTGTCAAACAGCCAGTGCAGGGACACACAGTATACGTTCCATTTACGGGCAAACTCATATTTCTGACCTGAAATGCAACCCATAAAATGAAGTGAAGAACATGCTAGGACTGTGTACCAAAACATACAGATGAGGTCAGAGATTATGGGGTCACCTGTGGGTTCACTGACAATAAGGTGAGTACACTCATTCATCTTGAGCTGCCCTGTGTAATTGCCTCCATTCTGGCCACACAACCTCTGAACCTCTTTACGCTCCACAGTAGAGAGTCCCGTCACACAGACCGTACAGCCTTTCAGGACTGGACACTGATAGTCCTCCGTATTCAGTTCAGAGTGATGGAAAACACTGTGGGGAAAGAAAAAAAAAAAGATTGTGAAGGGTTTTTTAGTCCCACCATCTGGTGCACAAGTCATCAGAGAAGAGATGTTGTGAAAGGAAGGGAAGTTATTTTGTTTAAAGTATACAAGGGCATGCAAATTAAAAAAAAAAAAAAAAAAGATGTGTATGGATAAGTTGTTTATAACAACACTGCAATACTCCATAAAATGTTGAGTTGTCAATTTTGATTTCACAGTGACTTTAACCATGTAGACTTTACCTATCCTGAGACTTTTCCCAGCATGCTTTCACCCAGCTGGGCAAAAGAATGGGCTTCCCAAGGCTTGCGGCCACCAGGTATTTCTTACTCCCCACTTCACCTGCCACCAGGTGAGTAACAGACACATTGAGATCACGGTAGACCCGTCCACCCATCAGCTGGACAAGATCCATCACTTCACTCTACAAGAACAACAAAACAGCCACTTATTTGTCGTGTAGATCTGCACATACAGATGTAATTTTCACTATTTCAATGACACTTTATACACTCTGTAAGCGAAGATTGAGAAAATAAACAATTATATATTAGACTTAATCATCAATGTTTTTTTCCTTACCCGTGCCTCTTTGTCAAGGTTGGTGCAGGAGGTAGTGACATCAGCCATGGCCATGTTGTACACGGGCTGCTCTGCTTTGGGCACACATCTATGCTTCTGCAGACAGAACAGCACTACCAGAGGACTCACGATCCTGCATCCCAGCTGCAAATATGACAGACATACAGTTTTGTAAGATTATTGACAGTAACATTTATAATGTTACAAAAGATTTCTGTTTCATATAAATGCAGAAAAATAAAAAAAACTCAATTACACCAAACTTTTAATGTACTTTTTTTTTTTTTAAAACAAGAGTGCAGGTATTCAAACTTAAGTTATACATCACTCTGTTTTTTGTTTTTTTTTTGTAAATAATGCAGAGATTAGTGATGTACCAAAATTTCGACAACCAAGAATATCTTGGGGGAAAAAAATGTTTTGGAAGGCCAAAATTATTTACTAAAACAGTAATGTTTATTAAGTGTTTTACTGATGACACCTTTTGATTGTGTCAGGGTTTATTTTGTGAACATTATAAAGATACACTACCAGTCAAAAGTTTTTGGACAGTAAGATTTTTAATGTTTTTTTTATAATTCTATTCTGCTCACCAAGCCTGCATTTTTTAAAATCAAAAATAAAGCAAAAGCAGTATTATTGTGAAATATTTTTACAATTGAAAATAACTGCTTTCAAATGTAATTTATTCCTGTGATCAAAGCTAAATTTTCAGCATCATTACTCCAGTCTTCAGTGTCACATGGTCCTTCAGAAATCATTCTAATATGCTGATTTGCTGTTCCAGAAACATTTTTTATTATTATTTTCAATATTTAAAACAGTCGAGTACATTTTTTTTCAGGATTCTTTGATGAATAGAAAGATCCAAAGATCAACATTTATCTGAAATAAAAAGCTTTTGTAACATTATACACTATATCATTCAAAAGCTTGGAGTTTGATGATATTTAAATCATTATATATTTATTATTAAATTACGAAATTATAGAAATGAATACGTTTATTTAGCAAGTATGCATTAAATTGATCAAAAGTGATGATCAAGACATTAATAATGTTACAAAATATTTCTATTTCAGATAAATGCTGTTCTTCTGAACTTTCTATTCATCAAAGAAACCTAAAAAATATTCTACTTCGCTTTTTTCAACATAATAATAAAAAATATTTTTTGAGCAGCAAATCAGAATATAAGAATGATTTCTGAAGGATCGTGTGACTGGAGTAATGATGCTAAAATTCAGCTTTAAAATCACAGGAATAAATTACACTTTAAAATATATTCCAATAGAAAGCTGTTATTTTAAATAGAAAAAATATTTCACAATATTACTGCTTTTGCTGTATTTTGGATCAAACAAAAGCAGGCTTGGTGAGCAAAAGAGAATTCTTTAAAAAAACATAAAAAATCTTGCTGTTCAAAAACTTTTGACTGCCATACAATTAAACATGTCAGCACTTCACCTTGACCAAAAATAACTCTAGAGTAGCAATATATCAAATTTGTTCAGCAGAAATATCAAGGCAGCTTGTTTGCTGAAGAACTACGACTGGTTTAACACGTCTCTTTGAACAGTATACAATTACCAGAATATAATTAGAGTCTTTCTCTGTTTCCTGCTAAATGAACATTTTAAATTTGGTTTGTGTCTCTGTAATAAATTCTTTTAAGTCAAAAAATTATTTTCAAAAGATCATCACTATCATCGATCATCACAAACGCACCCTCCTGCAGTGGTCAAAGGCATTGCTGGTGAAGTCACTGAAAACAAACAGGGACTTGTCATTGTGGTCCAGCTTTAGTGTGGCTTCCTCATCCAGCGTCTGCACATATTTCTCTGACTGCAGTTCCACTATTGCCTGAAGACGAGTAAATTATTATATAAACAAAAGACATCAAGTAGTACTATTAAGGTTCAAAGGATATTATAAGATATAAGAAGCATTTAATGACAGATGTTAACAAGAATGATACATTATGATCACCTTATAGGCCTGGAGAGCCAGATCACTCTTTTGTCCATTGCGTTCAACAAATTTCACAATGTATGTCTCCTTGTTGCTTTTTGACATGGTGGCATATAATCTACATCCTGTGGAAACAAACGTGCAAGGATTTAATATCATCATTAAACAATGTAAACATCTGCTAATCATTAGTATCCCGTTCTCTCATAGTGTTATTCTGTAATGTAATACCATCATGTATATTCTATTTTGTATTAGGTTTAACAAAATAGCAATTTAATACAAAAATCGAACAAAAACTGGATGCTATTTAGGATTATGACACTAATAATGTCCAATCGACTTCTCACTGAAGGTTGTTTTGAGTATCTCATAAACAAGGCCAACAAGACATCAAAGAGTGTCAAACTGTCGCACAGCTCTAAAACCGTGTAATCTATTGCGTGTCTTTTTAAAATTTATTAATATAAAACAACCTAAACACTCATAATAACAAATGAGGATTTACCGCGAGACAGAGCAGAATCTTGATTACGAGGATTAAAACTAGGAGATTTAGGATTAAAACTTTCAATTTAGTTGTTTTATCATTTCATCACAGACACACATAGAAACATCACTTGTATAAAACAGCAGGATAATTAATTAGCTAATCTGTCAGTATTTTAGTTTGAAAATCCGTGTGAAGCCATTTTCCAGTCATTCGCGCCATCAGCTCTGAAAAAAACTTCCGCTTCACTTCTGTTTCTTTGGTGAAATGGGAGAACTTATTAAAATATATGACCGCCACCTACCGGACTGGAGAAGTGCAGTGTCAGAATGAAATAAATAGTTAAATTCAACTATAATTTTTACTCTAGGTATTTTTGGAAGTGAGAGGAAAACATGTAATTATTTTCCAAAAAACGAACAGCGTTTTTTAAGCTGTTACCATAGTTACATATTCATTCCAGCGGCGCGCGATTCGTAAGGATGTTGTTCTTCTGAATCGAATCTTTTCAGTTAATTGATTTAACTGGCTTACAAAACTGATTTGTTCACATGCAAAAATGCTTAGTATTGTAAATAAATTGTAGTATTGTTAAATGTAAATTATATTTAGCCTCTAAACGGCGATGAGCCATGGCTCTAACTTGGAAAAATTGTCGAACAAAACGTAATAAAAAGTAGTATGTGTTTACATGTGGTGATATTTTTAATACATTTTTTTTAAACCAGTTCATTTAAAAGAACGAACCGATTTGCGGGAATCATTCATTGAGGGAACTTTCGTTCCTGTGTACTTTGTGTTTCACTCCGGGCTCAATATCTAGACACACTCTTCGCCAGCTGGTTTCTAACAGTGCGGACCGACGTGTATATTAATTTTAATCTTTGGCATGCTTTATTTTTCCCATCGAAAAATCATATCAACTCGTGTTTATTACAATATAGGATTTTAAGAAAAAATGGCCACCGTTGAGGAACTGAAGCTGCGAATCCGTGAGTTAGAAAATGAACTAATTAAATCCAAACAGAAGCAAAGTGATGCTGAACATCATCTCAGACCAAAGATTGATCAAATGAGTGCTGAAGTCGTAGACTCAAATCCATACAGGTGAGCAATTTGACGCTGCTATGTTTATTTATTATCACTGACTTGTTTTTGAACATATGGAAGGCTAAACCGGTGCGAAAGTCACTTTAATTTTATATTTAATATCTCACAGTCGTCTGATGGCACTCAAAAGGATGGGCATAGTTCAAGACTACGAGGTAAACATGTGTATTTATTATTTTTATGACACTTTTATATTGATAACTGCTTGCTCGTGTTCAGATGAGCACTACACCTGCTGTCATTCTCAGAAAATCCGCTCGTTTGCTGTGGCAGTGGTGGGAGTTGGAGGCGTGGGGAGTGTCACTGCAGAAATGCTCACGAGATGTGGCATTGGTAAGGTAATGCACCTTTATCCTCATTCCTCAATATATAGAACTAATAATATATAGGACAAATTAATCAAATATAACGATGCACTGATTGGCCGGTCTATGGTGTGCATTGTTAATGTTTTTTTTTTAGTTAAACTTGCTGCATTCTTGTAGTGTGTGTTGCCAGTCGGAGTACAGGAGGGAAGCCAACAGCATAACCCCCAGAGACATGCCTCGGCTCTGCAGTAACAGACTGTCATGCCTCTTTTTGCTGTGTCTGTGATTTCTTCCCCGCAGTTGCTGCTGTTTGACTATGATAAGGTGGAGTTGGCCAACATGAACCGGCTCTTCTTCCAGCCACATCAGGCAGGGCTCAGTAAAGTTGAGGCTGCTGAACACACTCTTAGGTAAGGGGGAGGTTAATCATCTTAACATATATAGCAAGGAATGGTCAGAGGTGACAGTCAACACATTTATAGTTACCAAAATTCTAATATATGAGATTCAAATATTTATTTTTTTATTTTTTTACTTTTTATTCCTCAAAGAATCCTGAAAAATTTTCAAAATATTGAGCAGCACAAGCATTTTCAACATTACTAATAATAATAAATGTTTCTTGAGCATCAAATCAGCATGAGATGTTTCTAGTCAAGTCTAAAAGAAATAAGAGCATGAATCATTATATCACTCTTTCAAAATACTTAGAGAAATTGTATTTAACAACTAGGTTAATTTTCTTATGAAACTTATTTGTTCTTTTTTTTTTTTAGTGGAAATCCACTTCATCTTTCTCTATTTATATTTTATTTTAACAAACTGTGATGTGGATTCAAAATGAGAAATTAAAAGGTTATTTTACAGCATTTTAGTTGATATTTCCCATTTTAATTCTGTTTTCCTGCATAGGAACATTAATCCAGATGTTGCTTTTGAGACCCACAATTACAACATCACCACAATGGACAACTTCACGCATTTCATGAACCGTATTAGGTGATCACTTGTTTTTTTAATGTCACAGTATGCTCAAGGTTTTCCTTCTCATTTTCAATATGGCTGTAATAAACAATCTTGCTTTTGTGTTTTCAGTCACGGAGGACTTGAGGAGGGGAAGCCTGTGGATTTGGTCCTCAGTTGTGTTGATAACTTTGAGGCTCGGATGGCCATTAATACTGTGAGTTTTTGGCATTAAACTGTAAGAACTATTTTTTTTTGTTCATTTTAATATATACAAATGTATGTTTTATATATATATATATTTATTTTAGCTATATTTTGAAAATATTTAACTTTCATTCCTTTTTTTTTTTTTCACAGTCACTGCAGTTTAGCAATTGCTTGCATGTTTTTTTCTCTCTTATAGGCATGTAATGAGTTGGGTCAGATCTGGATGGAGTCAGGCGTCAGTGAGAATGCCGTTTCTGGACACATTCAGCTCATCATCCCTGGAGAAACTGCTTGTTTTGCTGTATGACACACTCATACTCCCAAAACACATACTATGTGTCTTGAATATGAATTATGATCTTAACCATTTCATATGGCTGTACCCTCTTCTATACTGTCTAGTTTCTGTGTCATAAACCATAAAACACTGCTTATTTCTGGCAAATGTCAAATGGGTTGGAAACAGTGATCTGATCCAGTTGTGTGTGTGTGTGTGTCAGTGTGCACCTCCCCTCATAGTGGCTGCAAATATCGACGAGAAGACGTTGAAAAGGGACGGGGTTTGTGCTGCCAGCCTGCCCACCACAATGGGAGTGGTCGCCGGGCTCCTTGTGCAGAATGTCCTGAAGTAAGACCTCATCACAATCTTGATGATTCAGCACAGACCTAACCATGCTGTTTTTTTTAATGTCTATAAAGCATACTGTATCATATCTGATATGCAAATTTTCAAGGTCTGTAACTCAACATGACCAACTTGACTGAAAAACCTGTTGTACAGTCTACTACATGATTGATAGTTTATACTTTTTAGCAATTAAAATGCCTTTTAGTCTTTAATTCTAAAAACATCCCCCTTCAGGTTGTGGTACATGTCTTTTTGCTGCAAACTCTTAGTATACATAAGAATAGCCTTTAAATTGTTAGTAATATTTCAAGACGGACACTTAGTTGACTGAAGCAACTTGGGTTTACTTGACAGATCCATACATAATTTAAGAAACAAAAATCATACATTTCATATTGCATGGGTAGGGCGCCACATCCAACAATTTTAGTATACATCAGTATGATTTATTCCAGTGTAAGAAAAGGAAAAATATTAAGACTTGAAACATTTTAAATAAAGATAATTGTTGTAGTAAGTTCAAGAATAAGTTTGAGGATGATTCTTACAAAACTATATTTTCTGCAAGAATTTTTCAAGATTAATGAAAACTTTATTTTTTTTTAATTTTCATAATTCACAATTTATGTATACAGCGCAACAGCAAAAACTGTGAGGAAAAAATAAATGCCACATTTCTTTAGATCATTTTCTATAACAAGTCAAGCTGCAATACCAAACATGACCACACAGAGATGCCAACAGACCATTAAACCAGCAGCCTTAAAGGGTTAGTTCACCCAAAAATGAAAATTAGGCTGCGTTTTACTCACCCCCGAGGCATGCTAGGTGTATATGACTTTCTTCTTTCAGACGAATCCAGTCGGAGTTATATTAAAAATTGTCTTTGATCTTGCATCATTGATCATTCCCCCGGAACTGCTTCTGTTTACAACAGTGAGCGCAAGCTAGATTCAAGTGATTATT